CAGTTATCTATTAGGTTTCTTTCTTTTCTTTTTTTTTTTTTTTTTTTTATGTAACATATCCTCAATATTTCTTCTATGAAACTGATAAAACTTCACAACTTATTCACAACTTTAAGGACCACTAATGTATAATTTACCTTTTCAATGAAGTCCTCTGTTTATGTTCCCTAACTTCTCCGCTCTATATTGATATTTATCTTTTACCCTCTCATCTTCTCTCCCTCCTCTGTCCCATTACACAGTCAATCGCCCCCTCCCCATCCCAAAAAACGCCCCTGGCTCTGTCCCACTTACCCCCCCACAGAGATAAAGAGCTAATTGAAAATGCCTTTGCTAATTAACCTTCTCCAGACTGAAGGTATTTATAACCCCTGCGTTTTGATGGAGCAGCGCAGCACAGAAAGACAGCCCGTGGAGGTGGACTGTGCAAGAAAAAAAAGAGAATTAATTTTCAAAGCATTTTAGTAGAATGTGTAGGAAGAGGTTTAGTGATGGTTTTATGATGATTTCTATGGGGCTGTGCACAGTGCATTTGAATATCAGCATGTGCAAATTCAGATGACAAACGCTGATTAGACTGGGGCTTGAGTGCTTGGCTCCTGCTCACTGTTTGTACTGTGTATGCCAGAACAGTAGTACTCAAATCAGAGTAACAAATGGTGCAGTTAAGTAGTGGCACAAATGTTCAATACGGATACAATTTGTTATATTTGTCTTTCTATTCTTTATTTGTGATTGTGACTTTCATAAATGTAAACTATTTTCTGTTTATGACTTCTTGTATATAGCTTTATTTTGAATTTGTTATTAACATTCATATTTTGCTTGTTATAACATATTTCGATGTGTGAGCGACTTTGTCTAAATGACTTCCCCTGTGGATCAATAAAGTTTGTCTAAGTAAATATAAACATGAAATAATGCTCCATTCACATGGATGCACACACAAATGAATGCTGAAACCAACCCGTTGTAAAAGTAAATATAATAATTATTTCACGATATTTCTTTTATCTAGTCTTGTCAGCAGTATCATGTAAAAGAGGATGTTCAGTTTGCTCGGCCAGCTAGAACCACACACTTCAGTGGGGTGCCAGTTGCAAAAACTGTCATTTTGTCCTTAGGCAAGGCACTACACCCACATTGCCTAGTATGAAAGTGGTGTGTGCGTGAGTGATGGTGGTGGTCAGAAGGGCCGATGACAGCCATGCTTCCAGCAGTCTGCCCCAGGGCAGCTGTGGCTGAAATAGTAGATTATCACCTCTGTGTATGGAGTAAATTAATAATGATCTGTAAAAGCATCTGTGTGACATATGTCTGTGAAAAGCGCTATATAAATAAACATTTATTTACTTACTTACTTACACTTTGACAATACTTTACAAAGACGGGTGAATCTGGAGCTATATCTGATCTCTGCGATTTCGGGGGCATGATTGACAGGCGAATTAACCAATCAGAGAGACGTGTGCTCCATTCGCATCAAAAACAAACATGGTGGTTTACATGTAGAAAAGGAGGAAAAAGACAACATAAAGGACTGAGAAACAGCATGGATTCATGTGCTACAAATTTGCAGCTGTGGTTGGATTGCCTCACGTTTTGAATGGAGTTTTTTCAAGCTCTGTGGCCTGGTTCCAGTTCCTTCTGGTTTCGAACAGTATGAAGACGGGGCTGGCTGGTCAGGCAAATGTTCAGTGGTCACTAGAACTAAGCAAGCTCAGATGCCAGTTTTACACATTACATATTATCTAAAATAAAATGGCTGATAGTATGAGCACTGAACACCACATCTACTAATTATATGTCTATGGTGTCATAGCATTATTCAAGCAAAGGTGACAAAGGTGACAAAGGTTGAATAGACATCGACAGGTATAGACTCAGGGGGAGCCTACCTAGATCACAATTTGTATTGTGTACTAGACCGTTTAAAGGTCCTATATTATACAAAAGACTCTTATGAGCTTTAAGGCATGTTACAATGATGTTACCTCATCAAAAACATATTTATTAAACAGATTTATTAATCTGTCTGCATCTCCAAAGCTCAAAATGCGTGTTTTCTTTCTGAGAGAACACTCTGGATATGTTTTTGATGAGGAAATTTTATAATATAGATCAGACAAAAGCGTAATATGGGCCTTTTAAAGAATATGAGTGATCACTAGCTTTAGCATACAGTGTCGAGTAATTATAACATTCATCTTTTTTCATGTCTGGGTGTCCTGTTTTTCTTTCTTTTTTTTCTTTAAATACACAATAGGTGCAGGTTGGGTACTCTTTTGACAGAAATTATAGGCATAATATATGGCCAAATGGAAAGTAGAAACTGAAAGAATGAATGTCATGTGTCTCTTCTTCACCTTAAATCCTTTCTTGAACTCCATTTGAGAGGAAGCTATTACCTACAATTGATGATCTTTGAAAGTAGCTGTGGTTTCTAAGCAACAAAGAGCAACGGGTGGCAAAAAAGACAATAGAGGAGAAAAAAACATTAAATGAATTAGCCTACTCAATTGAATTTACAGATTGCTACGGTAAAATGGTTCATATAGACCTTGAGGTCAAATGTAAAAAAATATATATATGCATAACACATGGAATGACATTTGAAACTTGAAATTTATATCACGTTTAATTGATCTTGTGGGTATTTGGGGACTTTAAAAGACAAATAATTGAGGTGCAAATACAAAGAGATGGTTTGATCCCAGCTCCAACAAGTGCATGCACTTGTTATGTCCTTGGGCAACACACTTTGCCTGTATGAATATGGTAATAGAGTATGTGATTGAAATGGTGATTGGAAAAATTTCACATTTGTGGATTTGTTGGTCTTTTCTAAAATGTGAATTATCTGCAGTGATCTTTTTTTCAGTCCTCCTGACATTGAAATAAAATAGCATCTTTTCCTTAAGCTTAGATCACATATTTGTGTTACATATAGATGTAAATAAAAGAAAATACTGATGTCCTGAAACCGATATCCAGCAAATGTTGGATTGAATATGTAATTATGTAATTGTAATGTATTAATATCAAACTAAATCTAGTGCAATAAGTTGATGATGATGATAATAATATTCATTATACTGAGAAGCCTTAGTTCCAAAAAAGCTGTGTTACAATGAAAGCAAAAATATATAATACAAAAATTGAATGTGAGGCCAAAATTTGTAATAATAAATAATGTCACCTTCTCGTCTCATTCTTGTGGAACAAATCTGGTGTCTGATCTGGTCTGGTGGGAGTTGTGTCTCGCCCCGCCCTTCTGTGCACGTGATGTAACTGAACCTGAGTGAATGCCAGTGAAGTGACTCTATGTGTCCATCAGCAGAGCTTCAGATGCGAAGAGGAGACAGTTCAGGTTTCTGCGTTTACACTGGACCTGTCCCGTATGAGGCTGGGGGGTCTGGGGTACAGTTACAGTCTGCGCCCCCCCTCTGCGCCATCTCAACTCTGTGGATCAAGTCTGACTCTACTATACAATATGAGGAGTTAGAGGAACTTAGACGATATGAATTTGGTGTCTAGTGAAGTTGCCAGATTGTCTTTCTTTTGAAAACTGTTCAGTCTATTGGTCATTTTCAGTCTATTCTACCACTAGGAACTATATATATAGCCATTGTGGAAATGGAAACTGTTGAGATGTTTTTGAGCAATCTCCCAGGAGTCAATGACAGTGTAGCCCTTCACTAGTCCTAGAGTGATTCAGTGTAGAAAAAATTTCATCGGTGGTCATTTGAACTCATCTGTTTTGGCAAATAAAGACATTTCGACTCCCATCCAGAAGTCATTTTTAATCAACGGTGTTGGCTTGAAGCACTGGGAATTTATCCTACTCTAAGTAACTAAGTCCAACCCTAAAGGGAGGAGTTTTAGAGCCCAGGAGCCTTAGTTCTCTGCAAAGAAAGATGAACTCTCAGCACTGTTGCTATGACAATTAACAATTAAAATATCTTCATCAATTTATTTCAGCACATTTTGTCCTTTTCACTTAGAATTTCTTGTATGAACTGTTAAATTGCACAGAGAAGCTCTACACTGTCCATTTGCAAACCCACCAATGTGAAATTATGGTAATCATTATCAGAAGGTGGGCAAGAATAGCATTAAAATCAAGGCTGATGAGTCACTTGCTTAGATACAGTAAATATATTATGTTCCTATCAAAATGATCTCACATGTTTTATTAGGAACAGGCTGTGAAGTGAATAATTATGCTCAGGGCTGTGCTTTAGAGGAAATACACAGAAGTGACATTCATTTTTTATAGCCCAACTGTTTGGCAATATGGTTCAGTGAATCACATTCAAATCAGTGCTATAGACTGCTGTTATGTGTTATGGTATTGTTATTATATAAGTGCAGAGTGGACAGATATTTTTTACATATTTGACAGTTGAGTTTATGGAGGAGTATTTACAGGGCCCATGCGCTGTTTTCTGATCTTTGTTATAATAATGTTTCCTCATCAAAAAACATACTTGGTTTTGTGTTTTGCTTCATTCACACATGGTAAACACAGATCCTAGATATTTAGGCTGTGGTCTTGTCTCAACACTTTGTTCTACCTTGTGATGTCACAGGGCAGTACAGGAAGTGCACCACAATGTTTTTAAGCTCTATACACCTTCACTAGAATCATTTGGATCATTTCAGGCCTGAAATTGCCAGTCTCTGCTAAACAACCGTAAAAGATAGCTGTTAACTTGAAAACTATTGCTTCATTACATCACAAGGTGAAACAGAGCATTTTGAGCTTTTGAGATGTAGACAGAGTAATAATAAAGGATTACTCAAACATACGTGGTTTCAACAAAACACAACTCCAGGTATGCTTTTTATGAGGTAACAGCATTATAACATGGCTCAAAGCTAACAAGACCTTTAAGATTTAGCTTGTGTAAGCTGATGTTACATGCGCATCACGTGTCATGAATGTATCTGAAAATAACATTATTATTAATTTATGTAAATGATTCTGTGTTTTTCAGGTAAAACCTCACGGGCCCAGCTTCACTCGGCTCCATGCTCCATGGCCAGTGCTGTGCAGAGAGGCAGAGTTTCTCAAAATTAAAGTCCCGACAAAAACAGTAAGAATTTTTATATGATTTATCTTCTTCTTTATTTAAAAAGGACTTTCTCAATTGGTGGGATGGGAACCCAAAGCTGGGAAAAAAGTGGAAGTGGAAATGAGTTAGCTCTACTGTGCATGTTTGTTATCTAAGATTTGTTAATGATAAGGGATTATTGTTAGTAAGGTCGGGGGAATTTGACACAATCACATCTAAATGTTAAGAACTATTAAAAAAGTAAGTATTAGATATTTGGAATGGTTGGGTTATAAGTAAAGATATCAAACAAAGTTAAAACATATTTCAGTTGATTAGACTGGTCTACTTGTCAGCTGGTGTTGCCATGACAGTTCAAATAAATGATAAATTGTGTTTTAGCTTTTTTAAATCTTGCATGTGGTTGCATTACTTCCCTCAGAGCTATGACCTGAAGGAGGAGAGTGGCTTCAGTACCAGTATGAGCACTGTGTGGAGGAAACTCAACCAGCCCTTTCAGCCCAGAGTCCCACATGAGCACGGCCGCATCAAACTCCTCTCCCACTGCTTCTCCAGGGACAAACTGCACCTGTAGGGATCAACTGCACTATTACTGCTCTATATGTCTCATGGCCTTTATTAACAGCAAGCAGAAGGATAGACCAGTAATGTATTTGGCTAAAATTATTATAATTATAGATTAGCCTCACTCATCATTAAACTCCAGCTTTATTTTTGGTGTAAATATGTCCAAGAAATGTACATATATTTTTTTTCCCAGATACAACATCACATCCAAAGACACATTTTTTGACAATTCCACAAGAGGCCGAATAGTAAGTTTTGTGCACAAAGCTTTTCCATTCTTTGCTACTTGCTGTCCTGTTGCTGTCTTGTATTAATTTAGTATTTCTTACCTATTTCTGTTTTCAGGTGTATGAGATCCTGAGAAGGACAGTGTGTGTGCGAACCTGCCAGACCATAGGTAAGCACAATTTTTACCAAAAAAAAATAAACCACTTTGTATCTCTTCCCTTCACTGGTGTTTGTGTATAGCTGTGTAAAGGTTAAGGTTAGCTTAATTTCACCTATTGGTGGTGTGTTTTTGAACATACTGGGTCCAGCCTGACTGTTCCTGGAAACACTCTCCTCTCATTAACACATCAAAATCCTACAACAGGGGCTCCTCTGGGAACAGCTTCAGTGCTCCAGTCTGAACAGTGACGCATCTCTTCACTGCTCCCTCATTCATTACACCTGTACAGCCAGTTAAATGAGATCATTATGTTGGGTATTTGCATTGTTTTTTCTATGGTGACTAAGTGGAGACAAGTGCAGTGCAGTCAGAATTAGGGAGATTCCATAAATTTCTTTCACAACAATCTATAGACCATTATTATTTAATACAGATGAGACAATAGCCTTGCTGTGGATGAAATATCACTTTTTGGATATTTCAAGTTAATCAATAACTGAATAACGGAAAACAGAAAACAACCAATGGAATGATGTCATTATCCCAGAAGGGGGACAAGAGACAGTTTTCCCCATTAATGACATGGTGTTTTCATATCAAATATCTAAAATTATAATTAACAGATAATTTACTACAATTTCAATTAATGTCTATTCCATGAAACTTGCTTTTACAACACAAATCTGCATTTTAACAATATTCGCTTTACCTGCCACCTGTCTGTATTAAATATTATTGGCATGTTGTGAAGTCTTCTGAGACCTAGCAATTGTGTTTTTGTAATAGCAAAATAGCTCTTCGGCTTATCTAATGCTGGGCCACAGGGATAAATGTAGAGAATCCCAGACACCCATCACTCCACAAAACAAGGAATACTGAGACATTTCCAGGTCCAACCCTGGAGGTATAGACCATCGTAGTTCATCTTTGTGGTGAGATGTACCTGCGTGGAGGAGCAATGGCTGTACTTTGAGTTCATTCCAAGGGGATGATCTCCATACCCTTGTCCCCCAGTGCCTGTTTCAAGGGTATGGGTACTGCTCTTTGTTTAACCTGGCTTTGACCTGGTTTAATGTGACAGTTCAGACAGTTTGGACTTGAATATAAGAAACATGGGTTACAAATGCTTTACAACTGTGTATACATGTCCATGTTTCAGTTTTCAATCATTCAACCAATATTGTAGTTCAAAAATAGCAGATGAATTTCGACATGTTGGGTTGGTACATTACAAGCAGCCCTTTTCTAAATCAGATAAGGTTTCATGTCCTCCCTCTGTGTTGTCCTCCTGTGAGTGGCAGAAGGCACTGCCCGCGGCTCTGGCATCGCTGCAGGGAGAGCACAGAGCAGCACAGCTCATGACCTCTATTTTCAACATTTGGACTGAAGCAGATCCTCCAGGACCCTCCACAAGTGGGTCACACTTCTTGGGTCAGCCTCAGATTGAAGCTCGGCCTTCTGGGAATTGTGGTTGTTTCTAGGCGGCAGAGGGAACAGTCCTTGAGCAAGTGGTTTTAATAGACCAGTTCATTTTCTCAATCTATATCTATGTGGAAATAGTATAGACATTCAACATAAAAACATATCAGTACAAAAAACAATTATTATTAGTTTAAAATAAGAGAAGATTTATCACCTTTCAACACATCCTGTGCATTAGATTATATTATTCTCTCACCACAACTGTGCTGGGTCAGACTGACGAAAGTGAGGCTGTCCATCTGTGATTAGATCAGGAATTCTCAAGGTGGTGTTGCTGCAATAATGTAGACAGTACTATTCATGTGTTGCAATAACTGCACTGTTTGAAAACCTCTCTTTTCAGAACTGAAATAGTTTGTCGTATTGACTACACTGTATAATATGCATTTATGTTTTCTTATATACTTTGTATTATATTTCTGCAGGTATTAGTTCTCTGATTGCTAAAGGCGTGTATGATGCTGCCTTCCCTCTTCATGATGTAAGTTTTTTAAAGTTATTTATTTTTTATGTTTTATCTATGCTTCATGGAGTTCAATGCCCTGCTCATATTTGTCTTTTCTTTTGTTTCCAGGGTGATTACAAGGTCATAGGTCATCTCGAGGAGAGGAACGACAGACAGGTACACTTTCTTTACAATGCTTCTCCTATTTCACTGTAGCCACATCTCCCTAATTTGAAAACTTCTTTTAAACATAAGACAAGATAAGATAATCCTTTATTGTCTCCCATGGGAGAAATTTGTCTTGGGACAGGGGATACAACACAACACAAAGCACCACATAAACACCACCATATTTTTGCACTTCTGTTTTTAAATGTAATTTTCATTGCTTAACAAACCACATTTTTATTTATTTATGTATTTTCCTCCAGAAGTATTCTCTTAAAAATATGTTTTCCAAGCCAAACCAAAGTGTATGTGTGCAGTTGTTTTGAAGGCAATGCTCAGACCTGTCAGTTTTGTGGCTCTTAAAGGGACATGGTTTTGATGTGAGCGTTCCCTCCTCCTTGCTGTCATCTGAGGGCGTAATCACAACATGAGTCACCGCTCACAATCACATACACAGCATTATGACTGCACAGACCTGTCACATCTACACAGGGGGCTGGGCTACGACAAGGGGCTCTGCTTTGACTCTCAAAATACATTGCAAAACAAGTTGGAATTGGAATAATTTCGTAATAATCAGGCAGAGGGTCGACCACCAAATTGTCTCCATGGAGATGTTACTGCTTTGTCTGGAATGTTCCTCAGTATGCCATAAAATGTATCTAGCTTACGTTAAGTGAAGTACAGGTACTTTTATTGCTCAAAAATAGCTTTAAACATGCATTCTCATTGTCAACAGAGTTGCCTCTCCATAGATCTGACCTGTAACTTGGCCTCATAGTGTCACCCTCAACCAGGAAAGTTACATGTTGCATCTTTAAAGGCACGAATCTTGTGTAAGTCTTTTGCCAGTTCCATGTTTGGATTGCAAAAGGACACAGCATAAATCAAAATATTAATGCATAAAATAAAGGTTTTGTATTGTTATTTGGACACGAGAATAGTTTTGCTTATTTTGTAATCAGAGTTGCCTTGAGAAGTGGTTGCTTTCTTCCTATGGGATTTTCAACCACCACCAATTACTTCCCATAAATTTAAGATGTAGGTATGACTTGTCTTGCGTAAGGACATAACAGCAGTAGATCTATGGCTGGCAATGTCTAAATGTTGTGTGTGAGTAAATGTTTGGTGAGGGTAATGTGGGGCCCATAGGCGCAGATTGGCAGCCATGTTTCCTTCAGTCTTGGGCAGCTTGGGGATCTGGAAAAGCACTATATGGGTCTAATACTTTATGTTCTTTTATATTAATACAACATGCAATGCCCAGTTATACAAAATGCCAAGCTGACAGTAGACAAAGAATGAAAGTCTGGGCTCCAGACCAGCTCCAGTGCTCAGGTTAAACTGGTGAAATCCTCCCACATTAACTGTCACTGTTTGGCCTCAGGTCCTACATGAAGAGTGGGCCCGATACTCCGCCTTCTACAAGTACCAACCAATCGATCTGGTCAGGTAAAGTGCGGACAATTCATGAATGAATGAATATGCTCTGTGCTTTAGGAAAAATAGATCAAAACAAGTAACAGTGGTAAAAATAAGTAAACCTAGTAGTGATTAGTGTTGAAATAGTTTTTTAAATGGTACTGTGTATGTGTGTTTGTATTTCAGAAAGTATTTTGGGGAGAAGATCGGCCTGTACTTTGCGTGGCTTGGTGTCTACACTCAGCTGTTGATACCGGCGTCCATAGTGGGAATCATTGTGTTTGGATACGGAGTCGCGACGCTTGACACGAATATCCCCAGGTCAGAGGAACTGAAACTACACTTTTATTAGCAGGATGGGTTCTTGTAAGACAGGTGGCTAATCCAGTCGGTCATAAATAGAACATTTTAAATGAAATACATTATTAATATTCATATTAAAATGTTAAAAAATTATTTTTGAACAAATTAAGTCATTAAATCAACTTTAGTTTCAGTGTCATATCAGCAGACTTGTACAGCTGAAACACCACATTGACCAAGTTATACCCCAAAGTGAGCAAAAAATAAAAAATAAAAATAAATAAATAAATGAATAATTGAATTCTTAGAAAAAATAAAATTAATCCACCACTATTTTACTGGCGCTACATATGCATTGGACATGTTGCTATCAATAAATGGTGACATTTAAAAGTACACACTCACAACATGTTGGTCTAACAAGTGCGCTCTTGGCCAAAATATTTCAAAATCTGTAGGAGTTGTCTCAATCTGTGCAGTTACATACAAGAAGAGAAGTTTGAAATGTCTTTGGCAATGTTTTGCCTGCAGATTTGTGTGCTGTGTTTCATAGCTATTCTCAGTGCATTATATAAACATTTTCTTTTCTTTCAATCTTAATTCCATCATAGATAAATATTGTGGTGGATGTTTTGATCTTATAATAATTATAATAAGACTTGTCTTCTTTGGCTTATGAATTTAATACATGTTATAATAATTATAAACATACTATACCTGGAACTGGGTTTTGTTTTATTCATGTGTGTTTGAGTGACTCTTTATTATTAGTTTGGCTATATCTCCAAAGCAAAAAAAAAAAAAAAAAAACAACAAAAAAAACAACAATAAAAATAAAAAAATTACTTTGTATCATCTTGTGATCTTATGAAGCGGTAGTTTTAAAGTTAACCGCTACCTTTTACCTTTAGTTCAGTAAAGATGGGCAGTTCCAGGACTGAAATCATCTGAATGATTCAAGTGAATTTAAAAACACAGTGGAGCACTTCCTGTACATGACATCACAAGGTGGAACAGAGTGTTTTTAAATTGAATAGCTTAAAAATAGCATAATATAAGCCCTTTAATGTTGAAAAATACACAAGTCACTAGGTACACAATTTGATCACCACTTTGTATATACTTTAAAATACTTCTCTGTCATGAAGTTATACAGAAATATTGCCCTTAGATACTACAGAGGAAGGGCCCATTGGATTTTCCTGTATTGTTAGCATTACAGCTGTGAGTGGGCGCTCTCTGTCAGGAGTCATAAGGTTTCTGCCCACACTTCACATGAATGGGGTCAAAGAGAGGCACTTCTTTTGTCATTACACATTCACATCTATTCATCGGTAATAAAAACGATCTTATTTCATTTCCAGGAAAACATTAAGTCAGCTGTGTGATAATGTCAGTGCAAGGGCCATATGTGAATTAATTTGATGCTCTGGTGATGGTCAAAGGGTTATGTCAATATAAGATAAGCATATAAAATAGCTGGGGTGTGGTGGTTGAGTGCAAGCAAACAAATTCATTCTCCTCATCAGTTTACATATTGAGAACAATAATTGGCCCTGCAGACATGATCTATTAATATCTGATAATGAAGATAATAACATTTCAAATAATGATTGGATAAATAATTTAATAGCGAATGCAAGGGGCCTGAATGCTACTGTGGTCTTAACTCTTGCCTGTATATCTCGCATTGTTTGTGTAGGAGGAATACAGAATGGCTGGTGGTTGGTGGAGAAATCAATGTATTTCTTATATTAGACTTACACGAGTATAATGTAACACAGGGACTATTACGGTTCATTTATTTAATGGTAATGTTGCAGCCCAATGTTGTGTGCTTTGTTTGATGTATTTAGGCCCTTTTAGCACAGTTGTGATGGGTTGCAAAAAAGTGATATTATTATTGTGAGAGTACTAAAATAGGAGATAGTTATTTGTGTTATTTTTCCCAAGCCCTCTACTTCATTATAGTACTAATTAGGGATAGGATGAGTCACAATTTCAACAACGTAAGATCACTGTAGCACTGCTTTTTGGAACTACAGCTTGTGACTTTTTTTCCAAACATAGAAAAAAACATTTTGTAGCAATTTGATCAATATCTTGTGACTGGCATATAACCCACTAGCCACCCCATTCCAAACAGGAAGTGAGCAGAGGGACACTTCCGGCTTGAAAAATGGCACTCTTTTCTCTGTAACTGCCTCGTCATTTTTGTCTTAAAATGTCTGTAATAACCAGCTCTGCATGATCCTGGTGTTTTGTTTTTTGCTATTTTGTACATAAATAAATTTCTACTCCTAATATTGAACTTGGCTATAAGTACTAACCTCGTGAGCTCATTTAACTGGAGCCTAACGTTATGGGCAGGCCCGTCGGCAGAAATTTGAGGGCCCAGGGCAAGACACCTTACATGGGACCCCTCTAATATACCTGAATAGGGAGAGAGTCAAATTCTGAGCCCCTAAGACCTTGGTGCCTGTCCCCCCCGGTCGACTCCCCTGGCTATGGGCAACATTACACTTCCCTAGTCCACTTTTTTATACATTATATGGATGGCGGAGAATCTTGTCCCATTCCAAGTACTAAACTTTTACTGAAAACACAAAATTTTGCCTTAATGTCTTCCTCCTCTCCTGTTCACTGGAGCCTGCCTAGAGTGATATTATTCAACATGTATTTACTAGGGCCGGGCATGTTAATTTTGCATTAACTAATTAATTAATTATCGCCGACAATAATTTTAACGCCTTTAACGCAGGTTTTATCGCGATTAATCACACTCAAACTTCTGCGATTAATGCTTTTAATATTTTTTATTTTGCCTAACCCTAGTATTTACAAACCTTGTTCTTGTCTCTGGTTTTAGTTTGGAGATGTGCGATGATCGTCTAAACTTCACCATGTGTCCTCTCTGTGACGGGGCATGTGATTATTGGAGACTGAGCACAGCCTGTGGCACGGCCAGAGCCTCGCACCTGTTTGATAACCCTGCTACTGTGTTCTTTGCCATCTTCATGTCTCTGTGGGGTGAGTTGGCCCTTTACTATAGTCTGTCAATATAATGCATTAGAGGTGTGAGAATGTGGGATTTTAGTTTTAGGAATATTGTGAAGGAAAAAGAAAACATTACATAGCCATCAAATAGTATGTAAAAACAAATTAAATTTCTTCTTTGCTATAGCCATCAAATAGTTAATTCAGAAATACTCAGCTCTCTCCAGAACTTCCATATACTGTGTCATCCATTTTTATTAAAACAAACCCAATAATTGTTATTATTATTACTTTTTAAATTTTCAGTATTTTCTTATCTGATTCTTCTTCAAAAAGCAGAATTTTTGCTTTTTCAGTCCTGATTTGGCACCAATATTGAATAACTGCAGATTCCTAAGACCAATCAATAGTAGCACAGAGACCTTCCTTGAAATTGAGTTAATCTAGTAACACTGTGGCTATGACATTAGGGATGCACCAGTATTGTATATCAACGCGGATATAACCACCAGTGATATTCTTAACCAATACTCAATCCAGTCTAAACCGACTGTATCGTATATCATACCTTGGAATATGTTTTATATAACCACGTATAACTTTTCAACCATAAAAGATAGAAACTTACTTTTTTGTCTTGAAAAGCTGAGAATTGTAGCTTTCTGAGTATATTTTCAGCATTATTCTACATCACACGCATGTGATAACATTGGGAAAACAAGTGTCCAGTAGGAACTTTTGTTTCCATTTTCTTTCGCCCAAACTTTGCCAAAGAGTAAGTCAAAATGGTCGACTGCTCTAAGTGTCTATGTTTGTAACAGCTGAAAAAGCTGGTATAAGTGCAGTTATTTCTCTTAAATGGCAAATTACGCATCTTGGTCTGCGTAATTGTGCCGCCCTTGCTATTTTTAGATGAAAGTTTAATTTCACTCAAAATGTACAAATACAAATCTAATATACAACCATGGAAATGTGATGCGGCTCTGTGCCCTGGGCCTGACACGAGCTGTTTTCATGACTTGCAACAGTAAAGTCATGGGGCGACTGCACTTTTTTTGTTTTGAGGGCAATAAGGATGTTTTTAATTTATTTACAGACTTGATATTTTGCACTTTTGTAGCTAAGGCCCTAAATTAAGCATTTTTTTTATGTCCAGAAAGTTGTTTATACATGTTTGCTGTGTGTTTTGTATGAAAGAGTGTGACTTTTATTTCATTTGTATTTCTGGTTCTATAGCTTTTATTACAGCCATATGACACAATTTTAGCATGCAGATTGTGAAATAACAGATTGTACTGAAAAAAATGATGTATAACATTTAATTAGTGGGTAAAAGGGGAGCTTTAATAGCAAAATTAAGAAAAAAATCCAGGTGAGGACAAATATACTAAAATTGCCCTGAGATCTTAAACGGTTAATGGTATAGGTAACCCAGAAACAAAATATTGATAATCAAAGTTTTTTTTATAGCAGATCATTTTATTGTGTTTTTGTAGCTGTGCTGTTTCTGGAGCACTGGAAGAGACGTCAGATCAGTTTGAGCTTCAGCTGGGATCTGACGGGGATCGAAGACGATGAGGTAAACACACGCACACACACACAAAACATTGCACAAACATTATGTAAGATGTTTAGTTATTTATTTTACTTTGAAGTTTAAACTATTTATCGACAGTGGCTTGCTTGGAATGTCTGAATTACAGAGTAGATAAACCAAGTTACCATATATTGTATCTATTCATACATTCAGAAACCCTAACCCTAAAAACCCTAAAAATTTGACAAACATGTGACTCTACACTAGTTGCTTTAAGTAATGGTTTCCTTCAGGAACAACCTCGGCCAAAATATGAGAACATTGTCCTTCAAAAGCGACAGAGGAAACAGCAGAAGAAAAAGAAGAAGAAGAATGAGGTATGACTAACTCTGTGGTTTATGTAGCACTATTATTTAGGAGTCCCATCTGCTGCTATTGTCTAAACCTGAGAAATTTGTAACATTTTTCAGGTAAAACACCACTGCCTGTGATATTAGTGTGATAATCTCCATGCTGATTGCTGTAAATCAGGTCACCTGTCTATACACACTTTGCTGCAGACTCGGTACCACCAACCAAACTAACTGGACCAGAGAACACTAAATCTCATTATGGGATTATGGCACAAATCCAAAATGTTCTAAATTAAAAGTGGAGTCTGATCCTTGGCAAGAATTGAAATAGATCTGATGAGGGAACAGTATTGAGTATAAGGCAACACAAGGGCAAGTTAGTATAGAAGTATAGGTTCTGCCTGATTCAAATATATCAGATATTTCTTTGTATTTTCTTATAGTTTCAGTAACGTAGTATAGAGCGTTCGCTATCCACTTGTCTGAACATGTTATTGCTTTGTCTAGAATGTTCCAAAGAATCAGATTAAACTCAGTTACATCTCAGATTTGTGGAGAGGTAACCCTTTTCTGAGTTACATTGTGTGCCTTACCAAAAATACTCACTTATCAATACCAGTTCATCTCAATTGTTGTCTAAATGAATAGAAAGTAAAAGTCATTATTTGTCCAGCTGTGTTTATTTGCAGTAATGGGTTATTGAGCAGGATGCAATCATTTCTAGGAATGATCCAGAGTTAGGATTTCTAGGAATGATCCAGTGACTGACAGCAGGAGTCATTTGATGCACTGTTGGTTGTAAAGTGATATTGTGTCAATGTTGATGATCACATTTGATATACCTATGACTCTGGTGAAAATGTTTTATACTAAAGAACTTTTACCTCTGAGCCTTTTTACCTGAGCTAAATTGAGATGGATGGAAAATCATTGCATGTGATTCTTTTATTACTTTATCAGTTAATGACGTACTACCTGACAATTTCCAATCCTGCATGATCTCGAGAGCTAAGCCTGGGGTGGGCCTGGTTAGTACTTGGATGGGAGATTGCCGGGAACAGCAGGTGCCGCGATGGGGCAGCAGTGGCTCTAGTGCATCCTCTGACTGTTGTGATCTTGTCTTATATGAAAATAGGCCTGTGATGAACACATTTTGAAGCATGGTATATTTCTACAGAGATAGACTCCGATAACAATAATATTAAAATGAAAAAAAAAAAAGCATGATAGTCCCAGTAAATCAATTTTTAAATAGACAGTATTATTAAAATGTTTGAGATGCAACAAATGATGAGCCATAGAATTTATTTATTCTACTCTCTACAGCTCAAACCTTACGTTATTACATAAAAATAACTAAAATCTCACCACCATTGTACACATGATAAATATTGAACCCCAAAATATATTGTTCCAGCTTTCATATATTTAACAATGAGCCGATATAGTAATTATCGTGACAGACCTATATCAAAGTGGTAGTGAGTGATTATTAGTAGTAGTTGGAGAGGCCAAAAGTGCAGTTCCTTGCCTCCATTTGTCTCCCTCAGTCTATACCAGGGCAGCTGTGGCTACAGTGGTACAATGGTAACTGCTCAAGTGTGGAGTGAATAAATAATGCACCACAAAATTGTAAAGTGAGGCCAGTCAGGGTCTGGAAAAGAGAATAAAACATAAATTCATTATTATTTCCAGTATCCCTGTCCACTCAGACATATGAATTTCAAATCATTATTGATTTGTTTATCGGAAAAATAAAATCATAATTGAATATTTATCCAAAATGATTCATCCCTGTGTAGTTTATTTTATTTTATATTTTTTCCATTTTGAACCCTTATGCATTGTCACTATGTTTTATTAATCAGTGGACATGTTTTGCAGCAGGAGAAGCAGGAGGATGGGACAGTAACAGGGAAGGACAGGTGGAGACAGAAACTGCTGTCTGCCATGTCTGCTGGCAAACCGGTAACTCCTCCCTCCTACGCCCTAACTCCTCTCCTACCTCCTACCTCCTACTTTCTACTTCCTATCTCCTTCTTTATCCTTCCTCTTTCCTTGCTGCGGGCTATGTCTCTCGTTCTTCTCTTCCTGTCCCATCCTACTGCACAAGACTGCTCAGGTATTCCCACTTTGATGACTGTACCTAAGTTTAGATTCAATAGCATGGCTAAAATCTCTATAATTTCTTCTTTTTTTCACACTTCCGGTTCTATCTCTGCTTTCTCTTTTTATATTAATGAGAGAGAGATTAAAGTCTTAATAATTCACATATGTACTTTGTCTTTTGCCAACTATTTTTGAACATGGCTACACTAGATACACTGCCTCCTTACATTATTGTACTACACTGGGACTGGGCTATTTTAGTGAAGAAAGAAACTGTTCCAACCTACACACATAAGACAGCTATCTTTTAGGATCTCTCAAATCTCAAATAACACAACAGGTTTATTCCTTCAATAAGAATACAAAGACCATATTGTTAAAAGGTCCTATATTATGCAAAATTATTATATTCACACATGTTTGAGTAACCCTGTTTACATCTTTAAAGCTCAAAATGCTCTGTTCCAACTTGTGATGTCTTGTATTTTTTGTTCAGTAGAGAAATCCAAATCCAGGTCTTAAATCATCCAAATGATTCTTGTGAAGGTGTATGGGGTTTAAAAACACAGTGGGGCACTTGCTGTTTTACCACATAACATCATAAAGTGGAACAGTGTGTTTTCTGCTTGAGAGAAGAACTAAAAAAATTATGCAGGAATTGTGTGTTAAACATGTGAATGAAACAAAAAACAGCTCCAGGTATTTTGTGATGAGGAGGCGACATTATAACATTAGATCAGAAAATAGCGTAACATGGACCCTTTAACCTCTCAACTCTTTCATATCATTGAAAAAAGTTTAAAATATTTATGTTTAACAGAGCACCAGCTGTTTTAAGGTTTTTGTCTAGTACTTTCCTTGCCAGGCTGGTGCCACCTAGTGCCTCCGCTCAATTTCATTTCTAGGTCAGAAATCGGAATACTCTAGGAGGTTTGCAAGAACCGTGGAAGTTGTAGAATGCGCACTGGCCAATCAGCATAGAAGCTGACAAATACTTGGACACCACTGAGCTTTCCGGCACATTACATATGTCTCGATCAAATAGCAGTGATTGGTTAAATAAAAAAAGTACCCGCCTACCGTCAAGCGAACGAATCCTAATGCTGCAACGTCAGACGGTTTCCACAAAGTGAATCTGGCTGATGAATCAGGCTAGTATTTTCCCACATCAGAGTAATAATGAGTTATAGAGAGTAAGCATGAGTTATATTATGAATCAAGTCAGTTGGTTCTTAGGCTTGGAAAAAAGTTCATAACTACAGCACAAACTTGCTCTAATCATCACAAATTCAATCATATTTGTGGTAAGATAATATGCAGGGCTCTCCATATTAAATAATCAGCCTCCTGCAGTGATTCAAATTATGGTTCATTTTAGAGATTAGATCAGATTATGAGGTAGATAACCTACTTCTGTGTTCTCAGAGGAAAAGCACTGATTCAGTCTTGGGACTATCACAAACCAGTTTACAGTGGCCTGTGTTTTTTTTTTTTTTTTCCTTTTTGGTTAATGATTTTCAAACAACAACATTTTCAACATTTTAGTGTTACAATTCCTAAAGTAAGATACGATGTCTTTAAATGTAACAGTTGTTTGAGCCCTGTTCTTAATGTACTGTAATTGTTGAAAATGGTTGGTTGGTTTAGATCCCTGTAAGCCTGTCACGATAACATATTTTGATGTTTGATATTCTGCTGAAGAAAATATAGACGATAAACGATAATAGTGAAAGTAATTTATGCCACTGATGCAAAATTCCAAGAGCAGATTTAAACCAAAAAACTATTTGAAATGTACAATATTGTTACAAAAAACTCGAGCTGTAATAGATAAACAGCAGAATGAAACACTTTAATACTTAGTTTGCATTTAACATATTAATTCAACCTTGAACGGCTTATATCTTTTTAAAAAGCAAACCGATAACAAATAAATGTCATAGTAGTGCAAAGAAAAAATCCCCACGATAAACACTGACCCCCCCCAAAATTCCAGCTTTCTTATACTGAATGGCAAGCTGATATAGTAATTATTGTGACATGCCTAAAAAAAAAAAAATAATAATAATAATAATAATAATATATATATATATATATATATATATATATATATATATATATATATATATATATATATATATATATATATATATATATATATATATATATATATCGCATTGGCATTGTGTATTCCTGCTTGATATTGTGGTGTACAAACAGTGTGACCTAAAATCAATAGTGAACGGTGGATTTAAATATAGTGCCCAAAACAGGGAGCGGATGTGGGGTTCTCTAGTATTAAGTGATCATTGCCTTTTATTTAGCTCTAATGGGAGTGTAATGGCAGGTTTCTGAGCCAATGGGAACAGCTGCAAATGAGAGAGAATCAGAGCATCTGGACACATTGTCACAAGTGTTTTTAAAGACAATGTTCTAGTTTTTTCAGTGGTTATAAACTTTGGTGCTTTAGTCTCTTACAAAGACAAAAGAGGAGATGTAGAGGCTAAAAGTACATTAAAGCAACACTGTGTAACATTCCAGATGTGGCATGTACTCTTGTCTATTGAGAGAGATACTTTTTATACCATTACCGTGCAATATTATAGCCACAAAAACAACAAATTTCCATGAACGCAGCAGCAGGAGGCCCAGAGCCAAGTTCACGAGGTAGAATTAAAATAAAGACACAGGCTTTTATTTGACTGTATTTTTTGGCTAAAGAGTTACGGGGTGAGGCTTTAAAGGTGCACTGTGTAACTTGTCTGCCAGAGGGTCTGTCACCTGCTTGTCTCTGTGGAGATGTGCCTAGAATGTTCCACAGTATGGCCATGGAGACTTGCAATACAAATTACAGGTTAGATTTGTGACCCTAATCACAGTAAGAATGGATTTTGAGCAATAAATAACACCTGCAGTTTAATAAATGTAAGACTGTGGTATTAGTTTAATACCATATTGTGGGGAAAAACATCTCCACGTAGACAGACAGGTTGCGGAAAAGTTGAACAGTGCACCATCTGTTCAAGTCCATTTCTTTCACTCTTTGCTAGCATCCAATTGTGAGTTGTTAATAGCCATTCTCACAAGTTACTGTAACTAAACCACAAATAAATAAAACAACCCTTTTTATCTAATGAAGATCTTAGTCCTGATGCAAGATAAATAACTCTAGATTCTAATGTAATGTGATATAGATTGAGGAGGAAAAGGCAGCGTGTTGCGAGTGGAGACTGGAGGAGGGAGGTGAGTAGGAGGAAGCCATGCTGGGCAGGAAGCCAGGGCCAGATTAGCGACTGTCACTATGGAGACACACCAGTCTGTTCATGTGGCCACGATCTGATACCTGAGCCCGACTGGACCCATACAGAGGCACAGCACAATTATACTGATCATATACTATCAAGGTGAATGGGGGGTAGGTTGTAATTATATCAGCATGGAAGGATCTTATAAGTACTTGGTGTAATTTGTGATTACAGTTTGTTTGATTTGAAAGTTTTTGTAGTTTTTTTTAAGGGATGGGAGATAAGACAAAAATATGAATCGAGATATAATATTTTTCCTCATATAAAACCACTTTTTTTTACATGTTATTTTCTATTTAAAACAAATAATAATATGTTTCAATATGCATTTTCTGATTGTAAACATTACTTAAAGGTGCACTGTGCATCTTTTCTTGTGGAGGGTCTGTCACCTACTTGATGTTACTGCTTTGCCTAAAATGTTCCATGGTATGATATCTATTGTTTCTATTTCTCAAAAATACAATAATTGTCTGTGAATAGGGTTGCCTCTCCACAGATCAGACCTGTAACGTAGCCTAGTTGTCTCTCTTTGGATCGATAGGTTTGGTGTCTACAGTGGATACATTCTAGACCAGGGGTGTCCAAACTTTTTTCAACAAGGACCACAAATCTAAACACAGATGAAGCTGAGGGCTGATCGAGGGCCGTAGACTGGTGCTCAATACAGTGAATAATTGAAATATGTGCATGTTTAACACATTAGAATGAACCATCAGTCTTTATTCATGCTAAGAATCAAGATCAAGTTTGGACATGCCTGTTCTAGACAAAGCAAAAACATCTCCATAAAAACACAGACCCTCCACAAGAAAAGTTACACAATGCACCTTTAAACATGACTCAAAACAATGTCTGAACTCTGCTCCTCCAAACCAGATGCTCAGCAGAGGACTGGTTGTGGACCTCTCAATTAAAAAGACCCAAGATGATTAAAAATCTTAATTAATTTAATTGCACATTCCTACATTTTTCTCTTACTCTTAATGTCACATACACTACCAGTCAAAAGTCTGGACTCACCCTCTCATTCAGTGTTTTGTTTATTTTATGCTTACTGCTTTCTACATTTGATTTACATGTACATACAAAAGACATCAAATATATGCAGTAAGGTGTATGGAATTATGTAGCCAAGAAAATAAAAGTAAAATAACTCTACTAAATATATATATTTTATAACAGAATCCTCAAAGTAGTTGCTTTGTCAAAAAATATTTGGTGGAGTTATTTAACATTTTTTCTTTACTAAATAATCCCATACATCTTGCTTCAGATATTTGATGTCTTTGGTATGTATCTAAAATGCAGAAACTACTAAGAAAAAAGAAAAGAAATATTGAGTGTGACAGTGTGTCCAAACTATTGACTGGTAGTGTATGCAGGAGCCAAGTAAACTGTAGCTGAATACTCTATCAGATTCACTCACCTGGGGGTAAAGAGTCACTAAATCACCTCGACACTAGTTTCTGTGGTTTGAGGAGAAAACTGCAGGCCAAATATGTGACGTCACCAAACATAAATAGAAACTGATTTTATGCTATTAGTGTAAATGTCAGCCTTAACAGCTCTTGTGCGTCAGTTGGATCTTACATGAATTTCACACCATTTGAGTCACTACTTACATCCAATTTATTTCTTTCAAAGGGTAAACGTTAAAAAAAAAAAAGACAAGATTATATGAGGGTTAAAGATGCATTACGGAACTTTTCTGGTGGAGGGTCCGTCAAATGTTTTTTTCCATGATAGAGATTGGTTGTGTTGTCTGGAATGTTTCACAGTATGGCATTAAGCCTTTCTATCTTCATGGAGACTAAACCAGACCAAATTCCAGGTCAGATCTGTGGAGAGGCAAACCCACTCACAGTCAATGCCTGTTTTTCTAGATATTTTTGAGCTATAAATCCACCTGCAGTTGAAAAATGTAAGGTAGAGCTGTTTAATGTCATACTGTGGAACATTTCAGGCAGAGCTATGACATAAACAAGCAGGTGATGGACCTCCCAACCAAAAAGTTACACAGTGCATCTTTAAATTATGACTGAAATTAGTGCTAAACTAGTAGTAAACTTGTCAAAATATTAATAGATTATAAAATGAAACATATAATACAACTGCAGAGGACCCCAAGTATACCACCAGAGGCAGTCCACGTACACCAATGGTACAATTACCACAGTTTGAGAAACACTGTTATAGGACATTTGAATGTACCTCATATGATCTGGACAGTGGAAGTCCCTTGTATACATAGTGGTGAGTTATTGTTAGTGGATGATGAGTTGGGCTGCTCTCTCCGTGGACACATCAGTTTAAATATAACTCGTGCCCCAGTTCCTCCTGTCTCTCAGAAGCCTGTACTGACACAGACACATTTATTCTGAAGGTCTGCATGTCCTCTTAATTAGATGCTCTGCAGGAGGATCAAAACACTACTCTGGGCTTGGGGACTGGGGATGACACAGAGGAAACTGGTAATGTCACTGTAACAAACAACATAAGCAGAGCAGAGAGGGCAGCTGTCTTGTCCCATTACCAAACGGTTTTGGGTTTGAAGCATGTTCAGACTTTCTGTGAAGAGGTCCCCTGGTTTCCTTCACCAGTCTTCATCAATGACTCATTGGCCGGTCTTCAAGCCAGTTTACTATAAATCTTTATAGTTCAAGATCTGGAGAAGGGTCCTTAGGGATTTTGCTTTGTACTCACAGTTTTTTTCTGTGACACAGAAAATACAGAGGATACATTTACTACGAGCTGAATAAAGCACACAGAACATTTTGTCACTTGGTAATTGCTATGAGGTGTTTCAATGTTTAATAAAGATAAGTCACATTTCTTCATACATTACATTTTTGGTCATAGATAATTTGTATAATGATATTCACCATATTTTTTTATATGCTTTCTATAGTTTAGTGACAATTCAAACAATTAAAAAAAATTCTGTTGGTACACAAATCTTCTCTTCATGTTTATGATTGAATGTTCAGTTTTAATTTTTTTTGCATGTGACACTTTTGCATTGTGCTACTACAGTCACTAGATGGCGGTGTTCTCCTGGTTTTGCACATGATTTCAGAGTTTGAAGTCTTATGGGCTCCACAAATCTATAAACTGTGCATGATTTTTGATTGTGACATAACATTATCACAATTAATAATATTTATGATTTTAGGTATAACTTTAATTCGTAATTTAGATACCCTCATGAATGGTAATCTGAGTGCATTTGCTTAGCTTTATTAATGGATTAATGTCAAATTTTTCATGAATTTGCCTTTCAGTCTGCGGTGGAGAAATTGACCTGGAAAGATCGTCTCCCTGGGTACTGCATCAATGTTTCATCAATCCTCTTCATGGTGAGACTAAGTACTCTAAATATTACTACTAGTCTTTTCACAAATGTGCAAATGTACTGAAGCTAATGTACTCAAATGACCTAGATAGATTTGACCAATGAAATATTAATTCTAGTGACTGCAGAAACAAATTATAATTATGTGGAATTTTCTTTTCTTTTTTTTTGTTTGTTTGATTTTTATTAGTACAGTCTCAAATTAATACTGTGCTGTACAATTGTCTGTTGTTTGATTTTGAGTTTAGTTAAGTTTTAGTTTGAGTTGTTTTACCTTTTGTTCAAAATATTTCAACTAGATTCCACCAAACACTTTTTCCTGTTGCTAGTCTATAGTAATCTTAAGTGCTAAAATGAGCACTGTCCTTGTCCCTCAGACTTTAAATATTAATCCTGACTCTGACCACTGCTGTAATGTTATCGGACAGATGTGGTTCACTGATGACTAATTCATTTCTCTTTTGCGTTTCTTTTCAGTTTGGCCTGACCTTCTCTGCAGTCTTTGGCGTGATTGTCTACAGAATCACAGTGTCCGCTCTGATGGCCATGAGCTCAGACCCGGAGGTGAAGTCCAACGTGCGCGTCACAGTCACGGCGACAGCGGTCATGATAAACCTGGTGGTGATCCTCATCCTCGACGAGATCTACGGAGCGGTGGCAGTGTGGCTGACGGAACTTGGTATAAGACATTTTATTTATTATACAATGCAGATGAATGATCACAAAGTAAAAATACACGTGTAAATCATAGTTGACATGACTGAACATCTGGAAGCGTTATATTAGTAATATATTAAAATCTGACATTTATTTACCCTTTATTTATCCAGGTAGGTTGATTGAGAACCAATTCTCATTTACAAGGATGACCTGGTTATTTGAGGGAAGAATTAAATATTAACTGAACTTAAATAATGGCAGAAACGCATCTATTTATTTTTTTTTACCAGCCAAAATACATTTTATACTGATATTTAAATAGATTCATAGCATCTTAGCTGATGATAAGAACAAGACAAGATCTTAAAAATTAGAATTTTTTATTGAACTAATGTTTTGCTGCTTTCTGGTTGGTTTCAGTTAGTGACATTATTTGATTTAGCATAATTTTCCAAACATAAATGTCCACATATTCTCATAGACGATAGCATCTCCCACATCTCCAGACTAGACCACACTGTTGGTCCTGACTCAGCCTGTGTTTGACTGTTCACAGATTGTAAATGTTTAATACTGGAATGTTGCATGTGTGAAGAGGCTCTACTTTAACCTACTTCTATCACAGGGATCACATCATGGTTTAGAGATGTTGCACAGTGAGATGCCAGTGTTTCATATACACAATATTTTATCTAGAGTAATCTGGAATAAAAATAATAAATGCGCACGTTCAGTTCTTACAGTATATAATTAGTCTGTCAGTGGGTTTAACAAATAAATGTACATACCCCAAAAAATTAATTTACTCAATGTATGACTTTATTGATACTTTACAGTGAAATCACGCTGTGGATGTTCAGCAGTTACCACAACGATACAAAGAACACATTGCCAAACACTACCAAAAAGTTTTAAGACACTTTGAAAACTCAAGAGAAAACACAAAGTGGATTTAAACAGGGGTGTTCATGGTACTGTTAAGTGTGATCACTTGTTGTAATTCTAACTAAGTCAAGTCTTTCTGATCAGACTGTGTTTAAACAAAGCTTAGATTAAAGTTGAACAGAGCTTTAGACAGAGGTGAGCCTCCAGTTAGCTTCACACATCCAGGGAATATTGATGATGTCAGATGCAAAGTATCAATACTCTGCCTATTTATAATAAATTAAAACAACAGCAACAACAACAACAACAATAACAACAAACACTTAAATAGACATTACAGTAAGCAAACATTCAAGCAATAAATAAATAAATAGGAAAAAGACCCCCTCATGATTCAGTTTTTATACTTAACCGACCTCTTAAATTCAGTCAGTTTTTATGCCTTTTATTTCCAGAAATCCCTAAAACAGAGACAAACTATGAGGAGCGTCTCATTCTGAAAGCCTTTTTACTGAAGTTCATGAACGCTTACGCCCCCATCTTCTATGTGGCTTTCTTCAAGGGAAGGTCAGTACTGCTTATAGACACTCGATACAGCACAGACAAAAATGAATATACTGTATGTTTTATATGTGCTTTCTTGGTTATTATAGGTTTGCTGGTCGACCTGGAAGTTATGTCTATGTTTTCAATGATTATCGAATGGAAGAGGTGGGTTGACTTTTTCCATTAGTTTAGTCACTTCTGATTTACTTTTGTCAAATGTAAAATTAAATGTTTTGCCCTGAATACATATTTTGTGAGTAGTTTTAAAACTTCACACTGAATCAATTTGTTGATTAAAAACTGTGGACATGGTTTCAGTATATTTAGACTTAGACAAACGTTATTGATTCACATGGGGAATTATTTGGACATAGTAGCTCACACATCATAATATAACAAAGAGCAAAAAATTGTATGTTATAATAAACTCAAAATAAGTGGCAAAAATAGCAAAAGACTGGTGTCAAATAAGGCATAATTATACAATTACATATGTGCAAGTAAATATAAAATATAAATATATGGAAGTAAAAATAAAATGTATTGTTGTGTTTTTAGCCAATTCATGTATATTCTTACAAGCTAATTTTATATTATGTTTATATTATTAAGATTATGCCATTATGTCATTAATTCCTGTGTTAATTTTCCACAGTGTGCCCCTGGAGGCTGCCTGATTGAGTTATGCATCCAGCTCAGTATCATCATGTTGGGGAAGCAGCTTATTCAGAACAACATTTTTGAGATTGGAATACCGTGAGTGTTTTTTTTTTTTTTTTTTTTTTAAATTATAATTTTAAAATACCGTGAGTGTTTATTATTACAACTCCATTGAACCATTGGCAGTTCAGTCCCAGGTTTGGCCATGTTTGCTTATGTTTTAATGTGATATGTGAGAGATTGATGGTGGTGGTCAGAGAGGATTTTGGCTCAGATGTGCAGTCAGCAGTTTGGCACCATTATCCAAGGTCAAATGTTAGTGTGCTTCTTACAGTGAGAGAGTATGTTTTTTGATTATTCAAGATGATTACTCATTTCTTTCATAATAACTATGAAGTAACCATTGTTATTATTATCAAATCAAACTTTCTGAATGATAAAATAATATATATAATATATTAAGCAAAATTGGCTCCTGTGAGCCATGTTATAATGTTGTTACCTCCTTGAAAAACATACCTGGAATTGTGTTTAGATTCATTCACACATGTTTGAGTAAACTTTAACTGATTTATTTGAAATGACTTCTTTTTATTTCTAAATTTCTCATCAGAATAATATTATATTGATTATATTGACCCTTGAGTGTAGAGAATTTTAAGTGTCCATAAAAGCTGTAGAAATCCATTATTATATACAGTGGCAACCTGGAAAATCTTACATTTTATATATATATAGTGTTTTTCAAGACACTCAGAACAAATATTAAAACAAAAGAGCATATCTCTCCTTTAGGTTTTTCTCTCTCTAACCGAAAACACTCTGTTCCATCTTTTTATGTCATGTGGTAATATATAAAGTACCCAATGTGTTTTTAAACTCTATACACCTTCACTAGAATCTTTTGAAGTCCTTTCATTTTGAAGTAATATTAAAGTATTCGGAAGAAAAAAGTTGACAAATTATGCAAAATCATGCACCTTCTACTTGCTTGCACAATTTTCCCTCCGTTACTTTTCCCTCCGATACCATGACCTTTCTTAATAAAAAAATCTCATTACTCAAAAAGTAAGAGGTTTTTCAACCTAATCTTGTACCATATGGTAGAAAACTATATGAAGCAAATATTCAAACCAGTCTGTTAAGGATATGTAAGTGAGAACCGGTAGTTATCACTGTTTGTATTTATTGCCCAAAAGGTGCTGCATATTTCATTCCGTCCTTTACCGAAATGAGTTTTTAAATTTTTTGTCAACAACTTGAAAGAATATCACAGGGTTAACTTTACCCTGTTGGAGTGCTAACTCTTTCCTACATTCTAATACCTTACTTATTTCAATAGTCACTCTAGTTTCTGAATAAGAGCTATTTGAATTTAAAAAATCTGCCCCTGTTTCCCTCCATTACCATTTGACCGGACCCATATTCTAAATAGATGAGTCTTGAGATTTTTCCTGAAGGTGATGAGGTCAGTACAATCCTGTAAATGTACAGTAGATGCATAATGAACACATGTTTAGAAGGACTGAGCTGTGAGAGGTGGTGGATGTAATGAAAGAATGTCTGAAATTAGTTTCATGTGAGGAATATGGTTTATATTTATTTATTTTCCTTTAAATAAAATCCTGGTCCTGAAACATTTATTCCACATGACCCATATATCTTTACAGACACATTTTCTTTTGTCTTCCCTTTAACATACCACTCATAGCTGCTCTCTGCAATTCACGGTTTGGTGTTCAGATCCCAAAGGTCAAAGGTCAGCTGTCAGACTCGGGGCAGTGTTGTTACTGTAGCTTTGAGCTCCATTTAACCCTGAACTCTGAGGTGAATCTCGTCAGCTCGTCGGCCTTATCCCAGGGCAACAGCGAGCTCCAACACATGTCCTCATACCAGCTTCATACCAGCCTTGTATATGCTCCAAAGGATGCCCCAAAGCAACGCAACGCTGTGAAATCACATACATGTTTCAGACAAGTTTATATTAAAGGTCCCCTATGTAACACCTGTACCTGAATTAAAAGGCCTATTATACTACTTCTGATTTATGCTATAATGTTGCTTTCTCATTCATTCACACTTGTTTAACTCATAAACTCTGTGTATTAGGTTTAGGCTGAGCTCTCAAACAGAAAACACTCCACTTTGTGATGTCGTATCGAACTGCAGGAAGTGCTCCCCTGTGTTTTTAAACTCAATACCCTTTCACTAGAATCATTTGGATAATTTCAGCTCTGGAATCTCTAGTGAACAAAAAGTAAAAGGCAGCTGTTAACTTGAAAACTACTGCTTCAAGGTGGAACAGAGCATTTTGAGCTTTGGAGATTTAAATAGACTAATAATTAAGGATTACTCAAACACATGTTAATGAAACAAAATATGGTGAGGTAACAGCACTATAACATCACCCAAAATTCACAAGAGTCAATTTTGCATAGTATAGGACCTGTGCTTTTGTGTTGTGATAGCAAAACATTATTGGCCTGCTTAAAATAATGAAATATTAACTGCACTTGTGTTTTGTTCTGATAGTTTACTATGTTGTCTCTCTCCTTTGTCAGTAAGTTGAAGAAGCTGGTTCGGACCCTGAGGGACAAAGGCACTGTGGTGGAGCAGAAGCAGGAGGACCATCCCCGACAGTGGACCCTGGACTATGCCCTCGCCCCGTTTGAGGGACTGACCCCAGAGTACATGGAGATGAGTACGTCTGCAGCCATGTTTGCAGTCTTTGCATCATTTGTGTATAAATGGAAATCATGCAGATCATACAGTGACAAAGAATGACATGCTTTTCAAAAGTTTGTTAAAACTACAGGCTTAATAGGCTTTTCAGACATTAGAACATGAGAATTTAAGAGACACTGCTTTTTGTCCTCTCTGTATAAACCTAATAAATGATAAGTATTTAAAACTAGGGATGCACTAATCCAGCTCTTTCAGTTCTGATACTGATTCTAATACTAGAGCTTTAAGTATTTGAAAACAGCATTTATGTATTATTTTTACAAAAATACAGTAATAAAATAAGAGAATAAGTTATTTTTTAATCTCTCAAGTAACTACAAAACAGGTGTATATAAGTAAAATTCAAACATTATGAAACTGTCTGGGCCAACTATGGCTAACCAGCATGTCCCCCATCTGTGAGTAAGAAATCAATCACATTCCTGAATCTAAAAAAAACAATATTACCCAGTTATTGCTAATTGTTTCTATTAAATAGATATGAAACACAAGGAAGCCATGTGCCCCCTTTGAACCCATCCACCTCTCGTGTAGTTCACAGTTACAGCTATATTCAGGTATATTCAAGTATGTGGAGGAGGGGCCTGCACTGTAGCATTCAAACCTGTGTCCTCTGCTGTTTTCTCCCCGTGTTTCTTTGTGTGGGAGCCGCTCGAAGCTGCAGCCGTCAGTCTCAGAGTGCTGGAATCCCCTGTTCCCACAAGGCTAAAGTTCCTCTGTCACCCCCCCACACTCACGTTTCACTCTCAAGGAAATAACCCGTCTCAAATACGTCGATATCGATCAGTCAAACAAGTGTGTAAAATGTGCAAATGTAAATGACGCTGTACACAGTTAGCAGCTAATCCTTTGGAAGTCTAATGATTGAAATAGCTGCTGTTGTTTAAACTTTAGTGATGAACAATTAACTATTCAGTGTTTTATCTTAAAGGTGCTATATTATGCAAAATTATTTCTTGTGCGCTTTTAACCATGTTAGAATATTGTTACCTCATCAAAAACATACCTGGAGTTGGAGTTTATTTATTTTTTATTCACACATATTTGAGTAATCTATTGAGTAGTCTATCTACATCTCCAAAGTCCACTCACCTTGTTTCCACCTTGTAATGCCATGTAGTAGTAGTTTATTTCAGTAGAGACTGGCAATTCCAGAGCTGAAATCAACCAAATGATTCAAGTGAAGGCATATAGAGTTTAAAAACACAGTGGAGCACTTGTATTACCACATGCCATTACAAGATCGGAGCAGAATATTTGATGAACTCCTAAATATGCAGGGGTTGTGTGTGAATGAAACAAAACACAGCTTCAAGTATGTTTGTGATGAGGAAACAACAACATATAGATCAGAAAATAGTGGATTATGGGCCCTTTAAGTATAGACTGTGCACTTTGTAAATAGAACCATGTCAAAGTATGGCCACTTGCACCTTCTGAAACACTGACCTGGTAAAAATCCTGGTAAAATGTTAACTGTTCATATTTAGCTCCCAACTTTTTGCCATGAATTAAAAGTCTGACAACACTGGCTGATATTTCCTTTAACTGCCCCCACACCAAAATCATATCACTTGAGATGTGCTTTCTGCAGCAAATACAAATAAATAGCGATGCTGTGTCAATGATATTTCTGGAAGTCAAGTCATGTATTTTTCAATCTAGTAACCCTATCTACACAAACAAGAAAGTTTACACATCTTTGTCTTCTGTGGATTTAACCTCAGTAGGCCTACACTGACCCAGAGTACTCATATGAATGAAATGTCAACAAACTTTGGACTGTAGACTAATTTCTTAAAATAAAGAAGAGTAAAGCAAAGAAAGCAGGATAAGTTTCAGACTCAATAAAGGCTTATTCGAAAGAGACAGTGAGACAGATGTCAAATGGCGGTCAAATGTCACAATATGTTTTTATAATTTCAATGGAAAACAAACAAAAAGCAAAGATATCGTATTCATTAAATGAAAAATATGATGTAATATTATCACATATTAATATTAACTTGTAATGAATTTCGCTATGATAACGTTTACATTTTTGTTAATAATTCTCCATCCTCATGTTTTATCTAGTTATCCAGTTTGGGTTTGTGTCCCTGTTTGTGGCTTCCTTCCCTTTGGCTCCTCTCTTCGCTCTGCTCAATAACGTCATCGAGATTCGTTTGGACGCAAAGAAGTTTGTGACTGAACTTCGACGCCCAGTGGCAGCTAGAGCCAAGGATATTGGTAAGTGTTCAAGTGTTCAAAATATGTGATTTAGTTTGCTTAGTGCTTTAAAGCTTAAATCTGATACCCTGGACTATAAATAACATTAAATTCTGGTCTTGACCTTGTTTATATCTGGTTTATGTCTCGGTCTGTGTACAGAATTGGCTGTCTCAGATTGTGTTTAGAGTTGCTTTTTCTTGGTCTTACATTGGACTCTTTCTAGTCCAATCCAATTCTAGTCCTTGTTTTGCCCTGATTTGGTCCAGGTTTAGTTTTTATTGATATCACACAGCATTAATTATGGCACAGTAGTTTAAACATTCACATGTTTTCCTTATAGATTGCATATAAATGGACATAGCTAACCTGCTTACCTCATGCATTCCAAATAGTAAGTGAATGAAGTGGACAATTTATTTTACAATGTAAAACTGTCACCTCTTTCTCTGTAAATACCGCAGGAACCTCATCATTTTGGTTTTAAATGTTCCTATTAACCTGCTCTACATGATCCTGGTGCTTTTATTTCACTGTTTAGTACTTAAGCAAATTCCTATTTCTAATATGGACCCGGCTCCAAATTCGTTCCTATAACCTCTAGCATCATGAGCCTCCTTTGACTAGAGCTGAATGCTATGAGCGATGCCACACTCCCTTAGTCCACTTCTTTGTACAGTGTATGGTTTTCCTCCATTTTGACTTACACTATTTTTTCTACAGGTGTTTGGTACAACATATTGAGCGGAATGGGCAAGTTCTCTGTTATCATTAATGTAAGTATTTTCTATACAAATCCTGTCCACCTCTAAATTTAGCATCCACCTTCCATAAAAGTAGCATAGATCAGCTAGCTTTAGTGTTACTCAGAGTCCTATAGATCCACTGTTATACATGACATGTTAATAACAAGAGGAGGTCAAGGCCTGGCTGATTCTGTCTTCATGGGATTTGAGCAAAGTTTTGTTTAGGATTTGTCTGGAGCCTGGCAACCAAATCCTTTTCCGTTTACTTTTAATACCAGGCAGTATCGAGCTGGACTTCCTAAAAAGGTATTTATTATTAAGCTGGAGTTATAGGCTTAACATTGGTCACAGAGGAAGAGTCCCAAATTCAATTCCCACAAGTGCAGTATCCGAGCTGTCATTGTAAACAAAGATCCCTGAAATAGTAATCTACATACAGTTGGTTTATATAAGAATAACAGTGTATCTGATTTGTTTTGTACTTTACAGGCCTAACAAACTTCTCATGGCAATGACTAAAATTGAGTTACGTTATATTTACTATTTAGATGGGTTAGGTCAATTTTCCAGCCTTGGGTTTCAGATTGATGGAAAAATAATGACTGTTACCATAACAATTCATAAATCACATGGACAAAAGTCATCTTTATTTTTCTAACATATTAACAGACATCTAATCCTAGTGTATAACTGTACCAAGTGTCTACTGCCACCTGCGGACTCCACTCACCAAACATTTTCTGTAGATTGGTGTTTTAGGAACGGCATCTCTGTAAACCCATTTTACAGCATTAAAGTAAATGAAGCCAAATTATTAAAATATAATTAAACTTGTATTACGTGAGTTGTCCTCCATCTTGCAGGCCTTTGTGATCTCGTTCACTTCAGACTTCATCCCGCGCCTGGTCTATCAGTACGTCTACAGTCCCACCGGAACCATGCACGGGTTCATAGACCACACTCTGTCCTATTTCAACGTGTCCAACTTCAAATCAGGGACAGCCCCAGAGAGCACTGAGCATGGGGACATCTCTGTGTGCAGGTGAGACATATGTTACACCATACAATATTCAATACAGGCGATGCTGCTCTACTGATATGGTATATTATAATAGCTAATAGATTATTCAACTAACCAAAGTAAAAAACAAGCATCGAAAACTAAACTAAATGAAACTAAATGAAAACTTGCTCTTTAAGATGAGAACATCTTTAAATGTATGCAGTCTGTGATGCAGTCTGTGATGCACTAATGTCCGCCCAGGACCGTCCTGTGTGAGTCATAGCGCACCACTGGCTGCGTTTGTACATTTGCGTAGTTAATCGAGCTTGGGATTAAATTAAGTGTCAAGAACATTGATATTAGGTTGTTAGCTTGAATAACAATATTATTTCATATTACAATATATTTCAATCAATATGCTATATAAACTAAAGCTAGATAAAAACAAAACAAGCTTTTCATCTCAAACTTTTCTGTACAGTTCCCTTTTTAATTGTTGCATCACAACTTCAAAGCAACATAATACTTTGGTTCCCTTTTAACTATATTTTGATGACAGATTCGCATGTTCACTTTGCATGAGTACTCAGTGTTTCCTCGTAGCCTGGCATGAATGGGGTGCGTGAGTGACTGGTGGTGGGGCTGATGGCACAGATTGACAAATTTGGCAGCTTCTGTCAGTCTACCCCGAGGCAACAGTGGTTACTGAAGAAGCTTACCACCACCAAGTGAATGAATAATGACTCCAGTATAATACTATGAGAGGCTTGTCACGCATGCGAAGTGCAATAAAAATGTGATGCATTATCATTATTAAAATTAGTGTAACAGGAAATCCATCATGAGAGTCATTTGATATACACTTAGATAGAGTTATTATGAACAAGTGTCTACTGTCTAATACTGTGTGTTTGTCGGGCTGCATATTTGACATTGATGTATTGACTTTGCTGGTGTATGTAAACATATTGTCCTGCTTGTTACCATAGACTCCAGACAGAGTGGGATGAAAGCAGATTCCCACAATCTCTTTGCAGCTGTATTGTCCTCATCTGAGACACTGCCCCATTGTGTGTTTGTACTTTCACTTATGACAGTAGCAAACATCTCCCTCATTATCCCACCATAAAGAGCTATAGAGGGAGAGGTCACCAACGCCGCTGGTCAAGTACAGCTGAGTTTGACCTGGGTTGCATAAGAAACACAGAGTTACAGTATAAAAGAATAGTGCTTCTGTGCTGGGCAGCCTGTGCGTCAGGCCGTGGACATGCGGACTCACATAGAAATGGAGAGGCGTGAAATCAAACTGAAGATGAGCCAAGAGATGCTCTGTGTGGGGTTTGTGTGAGAGAGGAGGAGGAGAAGGAGGAGGAGCAGGGCGTGTCTGCTATGAAGGCTGCTCAAGGAACTCATTCACAACTGTAAACTGATCTGAATATTCAACGTATGCTTGGTTCTGTATGGGATGGGGTTGTACATTTGGAAGAGCAGATAATCACAATACTGCACAAAAAGTTTAATATGAACTACAGCTTATAATTAAATTTTTTAATGCAATAATTATTATGTCCTGTTTTTATAACAGACTAACACGACAGCCAAGTCTACCCTGAGGGCATTGGAAGCACTTCAGAAGCAATCCCTAAAAATCCTAGACTCGAAACCACAAAAACACCGCCACTACCATGTCCTACAAAAATATACATACATACAAATGTACTGCTCAACTTTGATAATATACAAAGACTAGCCTCAATTCGACTGATATATAGAATCCTGGATAACTCTGCACTTACACCTCTTAAGCGCTTTGTTCAATGCACCTCTGTAGTGATAACCGGAGCCACACGTGCTTCTGCCATTTGAATTAATTACTTTATTTATTTATTTATTGTTTATTTGAATACGGACAGACATAAACATAAAATAACAATTCAGTAGCCAAGGCTAATTCACAACACCAGTCCCCAGAAGGCCTTTTAAAACTATTCACTAAAAAGCAGTGGGATTATTGCATGAAAGAGCAATAAATACAATGCATGTATCAAGAGACTCAAATATCAAAATATAACAAACATACAAACTCACACCCTCACTTTTCACTCTTGCTCATCACCCTCTCTGCCCTGCTCTCTAATTGTCTCTCTTTCACACACCCAAGAGGAAGCGCTAAAATAGTCAAGTTGCCCTAGGACATAATAACAGTATCCTAGGTTATGCAAGAAGTACCCATATATTTGTACATCTACACTTTGATTTTTTTCTACCTTCCCTGCTGCATTCTTTACTCCCAACATATTTATAATACATCCTGTACACATGTCCAAACTGTATAATTACGCATTTAACTTTACACATTTAACTTTATTTCAGAAATCATCAACATAAGCTGTGGCTGTTGACTAAGTCGCTAAAACACTCACCTGCAAAAGTCCAGTGTGTAGAGTTTGCATGTATATAGAGCTCCAATTGAGATTATAAATAATACACTTGTTTATTCTAAAGTATTCTGACACCATCGTGTAACAAATGCATTTACTTCCATCAATTTGTTCTATGACTTTTGTTTACTTTTTTATATCTTTTTGGCTAATGCTTCACTTAAAATTTGTTTTTTTGAGGCTGAATTGATAATCTGTCTCCATGGTATCTTGTTTTATCGTCTAGACTACTTTGACATTTATTTTAAGCTCTATTGGGGCAGCCTCATCTCAACCTTCTCCCACAGTAACTCAGTCCAATTCAGGACGATCTTTAGCTTGATGCTTCTCCATACCCAAACATGGAGTCTAATAAAACAGGAATGTTCTGTACTCTTTTTTTTTTTTTTTTTTTTATTCAGTGCCACCCAGAAAAGTGAAGAGACAGTTGACTCGAGGTGGAGGAGGGAGGAGGAGAGGATGTGCGGGGCGGTCCACTCGTGTAAAACAGTTTGCAGCGATTGAATTAGCATGTGGATAAATAGATCAAAGAGAGAAGAGTGAAAAGCAGATTCCAGAGGGCTGCCTGGCTGTATAAGGAGAAAGTATGAGCAGTGCTAACTCTCTGCCCTCCTTTATAAAGATAGAGAGGCCTCAGCTCAATCAGACTGGTCAAAAGCTCTCAGGGATGCGATGGGAAACTTGTCATAACTTGTATTTGTCCCTTTTCTCGATATGGAAAAGTTTGATAAGGATCTTGATTGACATGAGAACTGAAATACCACAATGTTAGGTCTGATTTAAATGGTTTACGTTTCTATTTGTGGTCTGGCGTGCTTTCATTGGCTATTCTTGCGCAACAATATTGATTTTTTTTTTTTTTTTTCGTGTTTCTTTTTTATTTGGTGTATATGTCAGATGCCCTTCCTGTCACTTGTGCAATGAAAGGTGTACTGTATAACATTTCACCTGATGTCTCCATGGAAATGTTATTGCTTTGTCTAGAATGTTCCACAATATAAATCAAACATATCTATCCCGAGGGCAAGCAGGTCTCAGCACTACGCTACATTACAGTTCAGATATTCACAGAAGGAATTGTATTTTTGAGCAAAAGAAAAACCTGCTATGAATAAATGCTAAATGGAAATGTTTAAAGTCATACTATGGCACATTCCAGGCAAAGCAACAACATCTCCATGGAGAAAAGTATGGTATGTAGCGGACCACCACTAGAAAACTTGCACAGTGCACCTTTAAGTTGAGAAAGTTTTTTGAGAGAGATTAGGGTACAAAGTGACATTTTTTGCACTTGTGTAATTTATACCTGGTCTATTTTCATTTTATTACATGCCCTTTTTAAGCACAATTCTGTCTTCACTTTGTAATAAATTTAAATTTCTGGTAAATCATGATCCTCTTTCACATCGTCCATTTAAACAACTTGCATGCATGGATCATTTGAACACTAGTCTTGTTCTGTCTTTACCATAATGCCGATCTTTGTGTTAGTCCAATGGTTTTCTCCTCACAGCAGTCACAGAAGTGGTGTGGGAGGGAGCATCCTCACTTTGACAATGAAGCAGTGTACACTCCAGATGTGCTCTGTCAAATAGTGTACTACTGTATATGGACCAGACATAGGAACAATCATGAATCTCACTAAAACCACAGCAGAAAATGAAGATTAAAAACTAAAGATAAGACCTTTCACTGGCTTTGTGGAGATTAATGTAAGTTACTTAATACTTTTGTGGGGACGTTAAAGTTCCATATATGGGCATGCTTATGTACAGTGATGAGAAGGATACTTTGAAAATGTATTTAGTTACAGAATAATGAATACCTGCATTAAAATGTGTTTTGTAACGTATTCTGATACATGGTCCAATCAGAGCACTGTATTCTGAACACTTAGAATACTTGTAGTGTAAGGACTCAACATAGGATTAAAACAGCTTGTTATACATTTCCTATCACTAATTACAGAAGGAAAACCCACACATGCACATGCTATAGGAGCAACGATCTCTCAATTTTGTGCAGTTTGAAGCCTAAATTGATCAGGTACCTATATGTATTTCATTGATTTTTCGAAAAGTAACTGTATTCAGTTACTTCCATAGCCTGTATAAAAAAGTGGACTAAGCAAGTGTTACGTCACCCACAGCATTCAGTGTCACTCAAATGAAGCTTGCTATGCTAACACAAACAAAATAAGGGAAACAAATAAAAATAAATAAAAAACACCAGGCTTATGTAGAGTGGGTTTATATGAACATTTTAAGACCAAAATAACAAGGCTCACAGCAGCATGTACAGACAGAGGGGAGACAATATTCTAATGTTAGTCAATGGGTCAGTAGGCGCCAGAAGATCCTGCATGCAAACTTCCTATTTGGAACATGGTGGCTAGCCCTATGTCCATTTATATACAATTTATGGTTACTAAACCAACATTGCCTGTGTCGCTGCACCACTAGTTGAATAAATCTAAATACAGAAGTAAAAGCAATGCTGAAACATGCTGTGGTTGTTAATGGCTTCAAATTTAAACTGGCCAGGTTAAATAAATTACCCCATTTCTGGTAAAAAGACACATGCATGCTGCTATTTTCACCTGTAAATTAAGGTGTGCTGCCAAAATAATGCTTCCTGGAAATGGTCTTTCCACTGAAGCCAGACATCACATGTGGTTTAGTTTGGTTGTTTGTTCTTGAGTCCAATTAAATGTGTTTACTGCAGAGATGTCAAAGGAAAGGAATCCCGCTAATCATCACTATAAACAAAATGACATAAGCCTCTTATTTTATAGCCTAAGATTAAAACCCTATGTGCTAAAGCTATGCAAATAATAGGATTCCAATCAAGATGGAGATTGAGTAATTCTGAATTGTCAACAGTCAGCAGATCTTTTTTATTTGGGAAGCACATTGTCAATACTCCGTCAGTGAAAGTATGTGGTCTGTAAGAGTCCAGACTTTAAAGGTGCACTGTGTAACTTTTTGGTTGGGGTCCGTTCTATGGATATGCTATTGCTCTGCTTGGATTGTTCCACAGTATGACCTTTAAATAGCTATAACTTTCATTTATTAAATTACAGGCAGTTTTATAGCTCAGAAATACCTAGAAAACTGGCATTCTGGCTGTGAGTAGGGTTGCCTTTCCACAGATCTGACCTGTGACTTGGTCTGGTTTGGTACCATACTGTGAAACATTCCAGACAAAGCAATAACATCTCCATCAAGAAAAGCATTTGATTGACCTTCCACCACAAAGTTTAGATTTATTTATTGTCATTGTATGAAATACAATGAAACTTCTACAGAGCAGATCTGTAGAAGTAAACATAATACAGCTTGGAAGCTAATGGAACAAATGTATGTTTCGTATTAAACTTAAGAGAGTAATGTAGAAAAAAAATATAAGTCAGTATAATATAACCAGTATAGCCTGTATATATATATATAACATAAGCCAGTGTGCTGCTTTTGTGTTTCCCAGGACATGGGGGTAGTAAAAGGTGTTAAATCCTTTCGTGAACTTGTTAATTTAAATTGGATTTTTTCCAAGACACACCTGGCAACACCTCTAGTTGAAAGGCTAGTTGAAAATCCGTAGTTTAAGTAACCTCCACTTCTAATGAATCCTTTGTTGTTGTGTTACAGGTATAAAGATTACAGAGAACCTCCCTGGTCTCCAGATGCCTATCAGTTCTCCAAACACTACTGGTGCGTGCTGGCTGCCAGACTGGCCTTCGTCATTCTTTTCCAGGTGAGATAACTTAAGAGGAATGTCAATGATTGGTTTAGGATTCCCATCTAAAGTCTACAATAAACATACTACTACATGAGCTTGTCACTATGGAGATGCCATTGCTTTGCTTTGTCACATTTTTATATAAGGCTTTTCCAAAGCGCTCTACATCAAGGAACCACTCACCCATTCATGTACACACACCAGTGTGCACCCACTGGGTGTCTTGCCCAAGGACACAACAACAGTATTCATCTTTGGGAGCTAAGCCATTGTCGCCTCTGTCATGTTACTCCGACTGCCATTAATTGAATAAATACAAGATATGTATGTAATGCCGTACTGTGAAAAATTCCAGGCAAAGCAGCAACATCTTTATGGAGGGAGGCTGTTGATTTACACTCCACCTGGAAAGTTGCACATATCACCTTTAATGAATTATACGCAATCACAAACAAAGCACTTTTTTGGAGTTTTGTTACTTACATCCTCTAAACATTATTATATAACCAAAAGAAAGTGAGTATTGAAGTATATACGTATAGGGTGAATATAGGTGGATGTGTGTGGGCCAGTCATTTGTCATTGAGAAGCCTGATTGTACTCATCATGTCTGAAATGTTCCCAGATGGTCGAGTAAATGAGTAAATGTCCAAAGGCTGGAGGTATAAACAGATGCATAGTTTCATTGCTCACATCTGTCCAGCGTCCTTCAGCACATGGGATCTACACACTTCACTGCAGTCACACACAGATTTCTATAACTTAACCTTGGTGTCAGAAAAGTTTGTGTAACCTTCAGAACCTCAAGACATTTACATTGCAGTAGACTCACATGGGACCATTTTGCATGAACTGTATTTTGTCATGAATGAAAGCATGTAAAAAAAAAAAAAAAAAAAAATCCCAAATAATTCTGTATGCTTTTACTTTTTATTTGCCCAGCTAGTTCTGCACTGTTATGTAAATTTGCCCCATAGACTATATAAAGAAGTGGACTAAGTGTATAAGGGAGCAAATTTGGAGTACGTAAATTTTGTATTTATGTACAAAATAGTGAAATTAAAACACCAGGGTCATGTAGAGCGGGCCAATACAAACATTTTAAGATCAAAATGACAAAACACACTGCAGCAGTTACAGAGAGAGAGGTGACAAGAGTTGATGAAGCCAGAAGTGTGTCCACATGAACACTTCCTATTTGGAACGTCAGTGAATCAGCAATGTCCATTTACTGTATATATAGAGTCAATGATATTTAATTTTTTTCTTGATTTAGTTGTTTTATATTGCATGCCTGTTATTACATTTACATGAAACTGTTCTTAGACATTGGCAATAATCATTTCTTTGATTCTGATTGTTATGTCCCCTATCCGACAAGGGACACAACTGTTATAAAACAATCATTGAGACTGAGACTGAGTCAAAAAAAAATAAAAAAAAATAGTTTGGCAAGTGTATTTTGTGAGGCCAAACATTCACCAAGGTGTACAAAAAACTAAAGTTGGTGGGAGGAGGCACATGCCAGTTCTACCATAGAAAAGAACAGAAAGTATAACTAAACAGGGCCATACTAAAACCTACGCTACGAAAGTAAAGAAATCAAAAGCCTAGTCTATGCGATCTAAAAAAAGAAAGAAAAAAAAACAAACTAGGAACAAGTGAAGTCTGATTGGCTACTAGCTGGCCAATCAGAGAGCTTGAGCCAGGTCCTGCACCTTAACACAGGGCAGAGGAGGCAGCAGTAACACTGATCAGTACAACCAACTTCAGGATAAAGTATACAAATGAGACATACAGTAATGGTGATAGACAGAAGATGGATGTTGTAAACCCAGTATGTTACACTACAGGTTGACTTTAATAAGTTTTGATGAAATTAGATTATCCTGTATTACCAGAAATATCTCAAGATATTGTATACCAGCACAAAATGAACGCACTGTATTATAGAGTTTTACAACAAAAATATTTGAGAATAAAATAAATTGTCATTTCAAGACTAGGCTTATTATCTATAGTGGTGTGATTCCTCGGCCTAAGGCTGCAGTCACACTTTTATTACTTTGATCCTGGTTTAGTTCTGTTGTAGACCTGGTTTTGGCCTGTTCTTGTCCTGTGTCATGGTGTAGTCCAGGTTTAGTTCTGGATTTGGTTCTGGAAAAGTGCTTTATAAATAAAGTTTGATTGATTGATTTAGTCCCAGTTTTGTTGTGGTGTGAGTACAGCTTAATGTTTGGTTAACTTTTCAGATTTTTTGTCATCTGTATTTTCTAAAATTAAGGCAAATTTCTTTCTCTTGTCAGAACCTGGTGATGTTCCTGAGCCTGGTGGTCGCCTGGGTGATCCCTGACGTCCCCAAAACCATCGTAGAGCAGCTCAAACGCGAGAAGAAACTGCTGGTGGATTTATTTCTACAGGAGGAGAAGGAGAAGTTCCAACTGATCCAGAGTTTATTCAACAAAGATGGGGCCAACCTCCAATCATGCAGCACTATGCTCCAATCGGGACAAGGCCTCGCTCCTCTGGGTCGATACAGCACCCTGCCCCCCCTCAATACCCAGGCCTCTGCCCGTGATGCCGAGGGGTTTCCTAGGGCACGATGCAGGGCTGCTAGCTTCAGCCAGTTCAGCAGAAAGGCAGCCAGTAGTGAGAATGACAACTCCGTGCATACCGCGGTTTAACAGGTGGCTTACGAAAAAAGACGATTTGTTTTGTTATGTTCAAAAAGGATGAACATGGACTTAAAAGACTTGCTTTCTACTCAAAGACTGTTCAAATACATGTTTTTTGGTATAAATAGTGAGGCAGATAAGCTTCATAGCGTAGACAAGCAATAATGGCTTTTAATTGGCCACAGTTCGGATAGAGAGAGAGAGTGAGGTCTGAAAGTCCCTGAAGTGTGTGATAGTAATGACCTAATGTTTATCAAGCCGACAGTAGCAAATATTTTGTGTTATTTTGTATTACTCGTAGATAATTTATTAATACTATGGAAGAGGATTAGGCTAACTGGAATACATTTATTATTATTATTATTATTATTATTAATAATAATATTATATATATTAATAATAATAATAATAATAATAATAATAATAATAATAATAATAATAATAATTTATTTATTTTCAATTTTCAATTTGGTTATAATGCTTTTTAAATTAATGGGAACGATTACAAATGACATGAAAAAAATTATTAGACGCGTTTATAAATTATTACATGTCTTATAAAATGTTATTTAGTAGCTGTTTCATATGACATAATAATTATAATAGGCCTAATAAGAATTAGTTCTTCACAGTTCTTCAATACTTCATCATTAATCTTAAATTTTGACAGTTGTCCTAATCCTCTGCCATGTTTTATTTTATTTTATTTATTTATTTTTGGATAGACCTGTAAGCTGGCAAGATTTATTTATATTGTAATGATTTATCTGAAATGCTATTTTCAGAGTAAGGTTACTACTGCTGCTGATAACCGCTTACTTATATATGGACGATATGCCAATGTGGTGCACTGCCACTGTAGACACCAGTCCAAGTTTAGTTTAGGAGCATTTTCTAGTCATAGACATTTACAGACTGTAGATTTACTCTTACAATGTCTAACTTTGTAAATACAGGTTTTCACTGGAAACTTCATTGGCATTCCTTTATTCTGACGCACCAAACTGAACTCACACATTCCTAAAATATTTGCAATACACTGCCATATCCTATCGAATACTTCTGGACTGTTATGTGTGCGTAATAATGAGGTTAGCTATAGCCATGAGTGTCACTGCCTGATTTGTACCACAGCTCTTCCTGTCGTTTTGAGCAGAGCAACAAGCACGAAAATGTTCACTTACCACCAAAAACTGCATGTATAAATGGACATAGCCAATCTGCTTTCGGCTCTTTCGACTCTGTTTCCAATTGACTTTACATCGAAAAAAAAAAAAAGTCACCCAGCTCTGTGTGACTGCAGCAGTGAGCCTCATCATTTTGGTCATAAATTATTTGTATTAACCCGCTCTATTTTATCCAGGTGTTTTATTTTGCTATTTTGTACGTATATAAATTCCTAACATGGACCTGGCTCCAAATTTGCATCTGTAACTGCTAACCTCATGAGCTCCATTTGACTTGAGCTGAACTGGTATTGGATGACCTCACACTTCTTTAGTTCACTTCTTTATATACTCTTTGGTTATGACAACAATTTTGCCCAAACAAATCAAGCACAGACCTCTGATATGACTGTTAATATGCATATGAAGTCATACAGTTTACAAACTAATAAAAAATAAATTATACAGTAACCTAGGTAACCTATAGGAACATACAAAGCCTGAGGTTTCAATTGACAGAAAATATCGTTACAAGCAACACAGTAAGTAAGACATTATACTAGTCCAAAATAATCATATTGTTTGGCTTGGAGGGTGTTAAAAGAACTTGTTCAAACAAAGCTGGTTTTGTTTGTCTAAGGTAAAAGTATGATGGACATATTTTGGGCAGCGCTTCAAATCAGGCAGTGACTTCTGTTTAATCTACTGTGTTAGATAAACTGCTAACTGCTATTGGCATCTTAAGTTGCTAAATATTTTTTTTTTCTTTTAAAGGCATTTCGCTCCTTTCTCATGTCCAGTATCATCAGTAATATGGCTCTGTGTCCGACTGTTAACTTAAAATTTCATATAGACTTTTTAGGGCATGGACAGTCACATAAATCTGGAGCTATGTATTTACTGGCTACTGTTACAGAGACAAGTGTTCAGAATATTTAAACAGCATTTGTATGTACATTTGTAAATGTTTGTGCTGCTTTTCTCCCTTTCCTGTTTTTATGGATCTTTGGCCTTCTTTTACAGTTGAGATTAATTAGAGACTCTTGAACACACAGGCAGGTTTCTGTGCTTGCTAGAATGTTTTGTACAATTGTTCACATTACAGCAATATTATATATTCAGAGATGTACATATATTATATTTGTAATAATCTCAGGTATTGTTTCCTTGTGTAGACTAATACTGTATCATTCCTTTGACATATAGGTTCATGTGAGAGTAAAGAGACTTCATGCCTGGGCATGTGTTTGTGAAACTTTTCATTTATTTCATAAACCAATCAACCATAGAGCCTAAATGCTCTGAACATCTTGAACTCCTTCCATCTGATCTGTGCGAATTGGCACAGCTATTGCTGGAAGAAGAAGTGTGTAATTCTCGACAAAAACATTTAATTAACAGCATGATGCTACACATTTGTTTAGCTAAAACTGTATTGTTTATAGAAGCATGTGAACTGACTGCCATGATGGTCTTAACCTCTGCTCAGTGTCCCTCCTCTTCCCAAATGATTTCAAAGGGTGCCATTTTGGATTGACATTACTAACCACATTAGCGCTGTAATATCCATCTGGCTTTAGTTTAATCAGTTAATCTGGAGAACCTAGTCAGAGGATTATGATTCATGCTTCACATTTTAGAAAGGGAGAATATGACATAAAATCTTGCCATGGTTCAGAAGCCCAGACAGACCTATGAAACCTCGGAGCCAAACACATTGCCAGATGTGTCTTTTTATAAACCACAGGAAGTGCATTCATCTGCTCTGGGAACTCTCTCATTGGCACCAGATTCAGGGACATCGCCAAGTACAGATCATACACCACAAACATTATATGATGCAACTTTCTCACAGAAAACGCTTTTGACAGGCTGTTTTCATCTAACTGTTTGCTTGGATTTGACCACATAAACTAAACTACAAAGCTCCAAAGGTCTGACTGAGTACATTATGTAGCCATTAACAAAGTGGAAGCACAATGATGTAGATTACTGTATATTGGCATGGAGGAGAGATTTACCCTCTGTTTTTGTGCAGCTAGTGGCCATTCTATGGTTCAGTGGGCGAGCACAGCAAACTTCACATATCAGATATCGGAAAGCTCTTCTCATGGCCTCTCCGGCTCAGCAGCTGAAAATGACTGGAACATGTCCATTTGGAGCTTTCAGAGTGAAAAGGGCTGCCTCGTATAATAGCAGTAGTAGGATAGTGTAGATACTTGGTTCTATAGACAGGTCCTGTATGTCTCAGTGTCACACTGGATGCATTAGACCTGTATTGTGAAGTAGACAAACTTTATTGATCCACAAAGGAAATTATTTGGACACAGGTCACATGTCACAATATATTAAAATAAAAAAGAGCAAAAATATAAATCGTAATAATGCATTCTAAATGAGCAAAAATAGGAAGAGAGTGGTGTCAAATAAGCCATAATTATATAAATGTATATAAGTACAAATAAAATATAGGAAAGGTGTAAACAGCAAAAAATAAAGGTGCATTATGTAACATTCATACCTCTGGACAATGGAATGGGATTGGCTGTTAAAGTCTACTCAGACGTAAAAAAAACAAAAACAAAAAAAAAACACAATGAAATTTATTGGATAAGTTTGGCAGTCGAAGCAGTTGAGAGTCGGCCAAAGTGAAGTGTAAAAAAGATGGTGACAGGTAAATTGCACTGGTGGAAATGTAATTTTTTTGTAATCAAGATTTAACACTGAACATTTTTTTTATGTCTTTAAGTACCTAGACACTATTTATGGGTGCTATTTTAATCTACGTTATGTTGTTTCTTCATCAAAAACATATCTAGGGTTGTGTTTTGTTTCATTCACACACACACACACATACAAGTTCAAGATACAAACTGCATATTTCAGGCTGAGTTCTTATCTCAAACTCTGTTCCACCTTGTGATGTAATGTTTCAATATAGAAAGTGCTCCAATGTGTTTTTAAACTCCATAAACCTTCATTAGAATTATTTGGATAGTTTCAGCCCTGAATATGCCAATCTTTACTGAACAAAATGTAAAATGTATCTTGGTAACTTGATAAGGACCACTACATGACATCACAATGTGGAACAGAGGATTTTAACCTTTGGAGATGCTGACAGACTAATAAACCAGGATTACTCAAGCATGTGTAAATGAAACAAAACACAACTCAGGTATTTTATTTTTGAGGTAACAGCATTATAACTATGACTTCAAGCTCACAAGAGTCAATTTTGTGTAATAGGACTTTTAATTGCAGTAGTGTCCACTGGATGAGATATCACTTGTGATATGAATAATTTGGTCAGTCAATCTGAGTAACTTGGAGATAACCTTAAAATAATTTAGTTTTCAGTTATATATGGTTATGGATAATGTGAAATAACACAATAATTTTACACATGTGGGCAAAAAAAAGCTTTCTCAAAACAGACTAAATTAAAGTCCCAGTCAACAACACAACACTCACTGGTGAAGAGATGCTGAAGACACTTTAGAGTACAGACTGTGAAATCTCAGTTCTGTTTTCATTCATAATTTCCTCTCCAGTTCATCACATGCTCTTGAGTTTTGTTTGGAGCAGTTTGTGCCTCTGGCTAATTCCTGACCTGCCCCGATTTGTCTCGTAAATTACTGTAAGTCTCACACTTAATGCCAAGATTTACTGAAGATGCTGCCAGCGTCACTCTTAACAAATAAAATCAAAACTCAGGTGTATTTTGGCTTTGGCAAAGCGGTGTCCATGTCATGAATTAATCATTAATCAAGAGTTCATTTTGAGATGTTGCTATGTGCGATTTCATTATCAATGCAACACAACTATAAACAACAAGCGCCCCTGTATCAGTATTATGGCTGCAATTTCACTTATTCTCATTTAGTTTGGTTTCAGACCTATAAGGCTTTGCACTGGTGAAGCATTTCACTTCATTACAAGTGATTGTTGATGAGACAAACGATTTATATACATTATCTGTCCCCTTTTTTAAAATATTAGATTATTAGAAGCAAAAGTATCTCACTTGGTAGAAGGTCGATGATTCAACATCACCAGTTGAGTTGCTGTTGTGTCCTTGGGCAAGACACTTAACCCACCTTGCCCCCAGTGTCTGCGCACACTGGTGTGTGTGTTTGTGTGTGAATGGGTGAAAGATTCCTTGATGTGAA